TTTTAAATTATATTAATCTTCTTTGGATTATATATTTAATTAAAAAAAAGTTGATATTAATGTTGAAAATAATTTGATCAGAATTATTTTAATGATATTCCTAAGTTTATTTAAATCTTTTTATAAATGAGAGTCACTGTTGTTGGGCGCCACTTTGTAATGAATCAAAAATAAGCTTGCGCGTTCCTATTGATGAAACTTTACCTTATAATAATATGTTAGCTGGGATATTAATAGTTAAGTATTTTTTTAATGAACTATAAGTAATAAAATCAAGAGTGTCGACGTTCTCAATTTTATATCTTATTTTTTTATTAAATCCCATGTATTATTACGATTAATTAGAGGTCGTGAGTGTATAGGTTTATTAAGATTATCTAAATCAACTAGGATGCCTGAGTCTGCATGTCGTGAATATATTTATTTATAACAACCTGATATTTTATTATTTATCAGATGTATTAGTATAATTTCTTACCTTAACTGTGTCGAAGTTGGTTGATTGATGGTAGGTTACAAAGATCTTTTGAAATCAAAAGGTATTGAATAAAATTAATTTATAACACTTAATGTTTTTAATTTGTAAGAAATTATAACAGTAACAATTTCCGTCAACCAAGCAGCAATGATCCGTGAATGGAGGATATAGCGATCAACTCAATAAGTCGGTGTAAAAGGTATATGACAGGCTAGAATGATGTTAGCAGACTGGGTGTATCATGTAAAGAGGGCTCTACTTATAGTATTGACCCTTGGTACTTGTTGACAGATTTGTTATGTTATTGTCGTTTATTATCAAGGTACATAGGTAAAAGGTGCGTGTTTTTATTAACGCATATTTTTTTATATGGCTTATGGTATATATATGTATAGGAATAAATAGATTTAATAGTAATTTTATATAATATTGAAGTTCATGGGTACAGATATGTTGTTATAAAAGTCGTAATATTAGTGTATTAGATATAGTAATGACATTTGATTAAAAGTAAGTATAAATATTACTACTATTAATAAGTATAATTTTGATTATTATAATGGGGTACAAAGATGTGTTGTGGTTAGTTACATATTTTGATATTATGAATATTTTTGATATTGTATTAAATACAGTGTTTAGATATTAATAATAGGTGTGTTATGATTAACATAATTGAAATGATGATATTCGTTATATTATGAATATCATTACAGGGTTATTATTTATAAGTGTAAAAGTAGAATACCTTATGATTAAAATCATATTAATCGCATTATCAAGATCCCAAATGAAATTGGATGCTTAATGAGTCTGTTATAACAGTGCCGCATTTAGATAAAACTCACCCAGGGGCAAATATTTTTTTGATACCCTCCCAGTCCCCAATAAAAAAAAAATAATAATAATAAACAATTAAATTAAATTAAGATATAACTTATTCTTAATTAATCAGTCGCAGTCACTATCTGATAAATTAAAAGTTTAAATTTCAAATCGTGTTCGTAGTTCAACGACTAGACTAGGCGATTATATTCAAATCAGAATCAGTCAAGATTAACAAATGAATAATTTTATAGTCGTTCAATTTTATATATTATAACTCAGAATAGACTCAGGAGCTTAACTTTAAGTACTGTTTTTACAATATAACTATAGCCACTGGACATGAAAACAAAAACAAATTTTGAGATGCCCTCTAAAATTTTGGCATCCTCTAAAATGTTGGTACCCTCAAAAGCACCCGAGGTATTTGTTCCTTTTTCTCCCCCTTAAATGCACTTTTGAGTTATAGTATGCTCTTGTTTTATTTATTATCATTGTTCAACTATTAATCGTCATATACGTAACTATATATGGATATTTGTAATCTATCTGTAACAAATCAGAAAATTGCGCTGGCTAACCTGACAGTTGCAATATAACGATCGGTAATTTTAAAAGTAAATGGCTAAAATAGAAGCATTTTATAGTACTTATATATTTATGGGAATGTGTTTGTTTAAATGGTTATACAATATTATCTAAAGTGTTACTTACATTATCATACATCTAGTGTTCTGCATTTTTGAGAGATATTCGTATATATGATTTATTGCTTTAATTTTTGCTTATTGTTTCGATATTAGCATTAACTTTTACATTTGGAAATCTGTTAGAGATACGCTGATCCTTGATAATAGCAGTACAATTTGCTTTTCTAAACCAATGTGTTTTGACCGAACTATTCAGCTGTACGGGACGTGAAGGAGGACGAAGGAATACAGAAAACCATCAGTGGACTGTTAAATTAAGTGACTATACAATTAGAGTACGTACAAGTACATGTACAAAGAGTATCGTGAGTTTAATTTACAAATAATATGAATATTTGCTAAGGTACTTGACATTTATAGGTTATTTGAAAATTGTTCGACTATTTTCTAGCAAACATTGAACATTTGATTTCGAAAGTAAAGCAACAAACATTAAATCGACTACAATCGGTTAAAAATAAAAAAACACAGAAAATGTATCGAACAATTTCTGCTTACGATATATTGACCGATTCCAATATGTCATCAGAAGTCACTAGTCTGAGATCAAACAATGGCAGGCCAATGGACATGTTGCAAATACAAAAATTTAAATTATATAAAAGTGTGCGATGTGTCATCGATTCGAAATCTATTAGAAAATCACAGCGATTTTGACTTAAACTGCAAAAACTACCAATGCAAAAACTAGTTTGAATCTGGCTATTGAAGTTCATTACGAGCAAATGGTTGATCTCTTACTATCCAGGCATGGGCTCGAAATTGGAGATTCGTTGATGTACGTTATTCGCGAAAACCAGTATTCAATTGTTGTCAAGCTTCTCGATATTTTACCATCGGAAAACCCGGAAAACGTCAAATTAGGTTACGATGTTGGCGGCCCAGTGTGGACATGTGAAAGTCATCAGTCTGTTGCTGAAACGTGGCCATACAATTTCACTGCCCCATAAACTATAGTGTTTATGCAAAGAGATCAGTTTGGTCAACTACTCGTATCGTCTGAATTTTTATCTGTTTATTGTATTATTTTTACTTGTGTAGATCTGTAAGTCATTGGGTCAACTCAATAATGGTCTTGGGGCCGCTGAACTTAAACTCTCCGTATTCCGAGCACTCGCTAATTCGTCGTACATCTCATTGACGTCACAAGATCCGATTCTTACAGCTTTCCAGCTCAGCAAGATACTGCTAGACCACGGAAATGTAGACCGTATATTCAAATCCGATTACGAACTGTTGAATTTACAGTAAAGACGAACATCCGATCCGCTGGGACGGTTCCCCAGCGAACCACCAGCCCCCGGCCCGAGCCAAGCTCAGGTCGGGTTTGGAGTAAATTTTGATCACGCTGCCGCCTCGGAGCTCGAAGCATACCGCGCATTTTACGCCACCGACACGCATAGGTAGAGCTCCCACCCCGTGCCGGCTAGGCGCAGGTCCGCTGTCCGGGGGGAAGTATTCATTTTATTTCTTCCCTCTTCCCTACCACGGGGGAGTGTTTACATACCACTATCCGCAACCCGTGGACCCAATCTAGTCGCGTGAACCACCGCGTCGAATCCCTATCCAGAGATTCGCTGGATTGTGCAGGTTTTATCAGTACTACAGTGGAATGACGCAAATCGATCCGGTCACCGGCTATGAAATCACGCAAGAAGACTCGTTCATTGACATTTTTTCTACCTTGAAAACCCTATTTTGGGGCATATTTTGTATGATGTCATCCACCGCTGGATCGGTGGTGATCGAGACATCAATGAACGACGACATGAATGAGGAGTTTGTGGCTAGCAATCATTATTTCACCCAGGCCATTGGCACACTTTTATTTTCGTTATTCGAAATCATTTCAGTCATTGTTATGTTAAACATGTTAATAGCTACAATGACCAATACTTTTCAGAGGGTAACTGGAAACTCGTATATAGAATGGGTGTTCGGTAGAACGCAAGTATTCTTGTCGTTTTCTATGCACACTGAACTACCACCACCCCTGAATTTTATACCTACACTTCACTGCGGTATAGACATGTTTGGATGTTTACGAAATTGTTGTGAGGCCGGTACAATTTCGGGATGAACTGTCCAGTGGTTATGTTCAAAAATGCAACCCTATTTGTTGCTAACTAGTCTAATTCAACTAATCTTTTTTTATTTCGTGCTGACTTTGTATTGTTACTTAAAATATATATTTAATAAATACGAGTACAATGAGTTGTTATGTCTTGTTCAGTGTATTATGTTATATATATATATATATTATGTTCGTATTTGTCACAAAACAATATATAATATATAAATCATTTAAGCTTATTTTACTGATTTTGACTAATCTGTTTTTACTGTACCGTTCGTACGTATTATTTTTATGACCAAACACATATGAGAAGAAATACAAGTACAAACAAATAATATTATATCTAGGGCTGTGCATTTAATGTACTAAAGAACCTTAAAAAAATTCATTAAAAATGTCAAAAAAATGCAATAAAATATGCACTTAAAATGCGAAAAAATTCAATATAAAATGCAAAAAATTATAGTATAAAACGGTTTTAATTTAATGTTTATATTTATATTAATATTAGGTATAGGATATTATACATTAGTACATTAAATGCATAAATAAGTATTTATTTAATAAAAAAAAAAAAAAAATAAGAAAAAATTTGTTCGAATTTGATTTTTCTATACTATATTTTAGTATTTATTTTTTTAAAATAATAAAACAAACTTCAAACTTTAATATATTTATTTTCGGGTTCCTTATTTAGTCCGTAGAATTTGATTAAAAATATCAGAAAATTAAGTAAAAAAGGAAAATATTACATAAAAATGAATAAAAATTACCTAAAAAATTAAAAACATCAAAAAATGGAAAATAAAAAATGCATAAATGGATTTGTAGTTACATAATTCAAATTATGTACTCACAAAGCTATGTTTTAAAATCAATCAAAAAAAAAATGCACTTTCCTACAAATTCTTAGCCCTAATTATATTCTTTGCCGATGGCTTTGAATGAAATACAAATGATAATTGTATATTCCTTCGAAATGATTTCAATAGTCCTCTAGACCTGTGTGTGATACGATTCGATAGTTTAAATCCTTTCAGGTAAATTCATCGGAAAAAGTGATAAAATATCTACTACAATATCTAATCGCGGGAACTGTGTGATGAAATTTCGTGGGATTTCATATGATTTCATATGAAAAATATTTTATTATATAAATATATGCTCTGTAAAAAGGTAATGATATAATAATAATTGTTTGAATGTAATTTAATTTAAAAAAGGTGATTGGTATTTATAAATTTGAAAATAGGAATCCTTTAATAATAAACGTATTGTTTTGGTTTTCAAAAATATAAACGAAGGGAAAAGGTCTTATTATTTCGTATGCAAATTCATATTTAAAAAAAAGGTCGTTACCTAAAGTATGAAAAAAAAACTCAATTAAATCAGAATTTTCTGCCGAAATTTGTTCACAAAACTGCACAAACTTGGAATAAATGAACAGGTCAATAATAAATAAAAAATTGGTTACTTACATATACTTAGTTTACTTTATAAAATGTGTTAATAAAACAATATACACTAAAAGTTTGTTTAAATATATTTTGAATTTATTAAGCATGTCCTTATGCCCCTCACTTCTTCAATGTTTAACATCTCGGAAACGGGTTAAGCACAAACGACGGGAATAAAAGCACAAACAAGCACAAACAAAACACAAATGACTGTAAAAATTTTAACTCGAAAGTCCGAGATAGTGGGGGGGCTGAGCATGTCTCCAGCCCCCCCCCTCACCTTGAAAGTACGATAACTCGGATACGGGTTAAGCATAAACGACGGGAATAAAAGCACAAACAAGCACAAACGAAATACAAACGACTGTAAAAATTTGAACTCGAAAGTTCGAGGTAGTGGGGGGGCTAAATATGTCCCCAGCTCCCTTCCCCCCTTGAAAGTTTGATAACTCGGAAACTGGTTAAGCACAAACAAAACATAAACGGCTGTAAAAATTTGAACTCGAAAGTCCACGGTGGGGGGGTGGGGACATGCAGCTGATTTCATTGATGTTAGTGGAAGGGTTGGCAATGGTGTCATCAGCTGCATCAGTTAAATCTGACTATACCAATGTAAATGGAAGTGTTGTAAATGTTGGAGGATCTACAGTTGACTCGAATTCAACTAATGGTAATGGAAGGTCTGAGCTGGAAGCATAGCAGGTGACTCAGGGTCTTTTAAAAATTACCAAAGGTGTCAGTTGTTTTGATGGCAATTCTAGTGCTTCTGACACTATAATTGACAATGAAAGTACTGGTGATTCCATTAAGGCATCATCTTCAGCAGTTTTTGTAACTTTTGTAGAAATTATCATATCACTTCGTCTTGGGATTTTCCTTATATTATTACCATCAGGTTTCCTTAATTTTTCGATCATTCATTGTAATGTTTCTGTATTAATTACATACCAAGGAATTTGACTAGGTGATCCAGATTGTAACTTCAGAGGCTTAAATGGTGGTGGAGGAGGTGGAGATATTTTTGGAAATTCTGGTTCTATTTAACTTGGTGGTACTGAATAAATAGGATGAGCTTGTTTTTTTTTTGTTGCGTGATGAACGTTTGCCATTCTTTCGTTCATTCGACCTCTTAAATACGCTCCTAACATCACCATAACATTTTGTCACATTTGTTCAGTATTAATCTGATATATCAAATTTAAGTTTGTCTCCTTAGTTTCTAAAATTTATTTGTAAAATAATAGTAACAAATACCCACTATAAATATTTGAAGAGATCCAATCTTACTTTCCAGCATAAACAGTCGATGTTTTAACTTGCCAAATTTACGATGAACCATATAATCGATGTCCTCATAGTTTATAACTTTAGTGGTTGTATCTTAATAAGTAATATAAAATGTACACACGTTAAAAATTTTTGTTTCAGAAAGTAATTATGGAAACATAAACAATATATTACTTCCTAAAGTGTATAAATGTTTTCTATAGCTGTCCAAATCCTTCATCATTTGAGTCTTGAATTTATTGTAATCTATTTTGCTTGCAGAAAGTTGTTTATTATCTAAGAATAAATTATTTATGTTTAACCTCGGTTGAATAAAAATTTATAAATTAATTAATTAATTAAAAAAAAAATACTCTTGGTTTCCTTATCCATTTTTCTGACCGTCTGAATTACCAATTTTTTTCTGAATTTAACGTGTCAACAATATTTACAAGGTTGTTCATTTGGAAATTCTGGAAATTTTTACAAACCTGGGTAAATTTCTACCCCCTCGTAGGACACTTTATCTCCGTTCTTCAAACATACATCTTGGGATGTTTGTGCTTCCGTTTTGGAAGCATACTCCGTGTCTCCTTGATCTTTGGTGTGGTCAGTATGTCTATTCCATTTCATTTAATATAACACATAAATATATGCATAGCGTTTACTATAATAATAATAGGAAAATATTAGGTGGAACAACGCTAAATATGGATTTTTCGTAAGAAAATTTTTTATTTTATTTTAAACTTGTTATACTCGTAGATATTTAAGTATTGCTATACATCAACATCAAGTATTATTAAATATAACAAATAATATTATTATCTAATAATAATAATAATTAAGGAAAGTATTGATAATTAATTAGATACGTGATATAGAATGTTAATAATACAAATGATATTGGTTCAATAAATAATATTATGGATTGTTGGTCTGCTCAGAGAGTGTAATATTTATAGGATCTTGCGAAATATTAATAAGGCGCGTTAGTAAAATGATTGAGATGACAGAATCCTATGTTGAGCATAGAATTTGGTCCGTTTAACTTGACTAATAAATGTATTTCTTCATAGTTGATTTCAAAATTAAAAATGATTTCGCCAGTAATGTTTTTCTATAGTATAATATGCAAAGTGAAGCAATGAGAATATATTATTTTCTTATACCTATATAATCTCGTTTTTTCAATAGAGTTATTATTTAAAAATTCCTCATAAGTTTAAAATACGAACAATAAATTAGAAAAATGTGATAAAACCAATATTGGTAATTTTATTTTAAATGTATATGCATATAAAAAGCAAAATATAAGTAAATTCTTATAATAGTACTTAGATTAAATTATTAATAGTTTAAAACACCATTCTTGTGAAAAAAATGTGCACGAATATTTTAAAATGGATAAATGTAAAATATGAATTTACAGTAGGGTCAAATTTAATATATGCATAAAATTTAAATGCACCTAAATCTTAAATGTTACAGCAAATTTAATCAAATATTTTTTGACAATTGTAATTTAATACTACTAACAAAAGCATTTCGGAATTTAAGCACTGATTATTTTTCTTACGTGATAATCATACAGTCGTTATTGAATTTATCATGAGATTCTAGACTGACACGTAAAATTATGTTATAACTTAATAATCACCCAAAATAATTGAATTACTGTTTTTTTAAATAGATATATTGAATTTTTTCAAAATTGTTACTGGTTATGTTATGGTGAAATTGTGGTTGAAATATTATACTGTAAAATATGTAGTCAATGTATTATACTGTATTCAATATACATTAGGTATACGATTTTACATGTAATACTTTTCATGTACAATTTTAATTTACGTAAATATTATTAAATTATTATTAAATAAAATCATATATACTATATTAAAATTAATAAAATATAATTAAGGATAATACACACCGTGTATAAGAAAACGATATTCAAGATAAAGTTATGCAGATATTCTATTGGGAAATAATTGAATATTATACAAAATTTAAACTATTGAGCGTAGTTATAATTAATATTACAAACTTACATTGATGTTACTCATTTAATTGTTTCAACTATTAATTAAACAGAACATTATATTTTTATATATTAAACTCGTTAGAGCGCACCAAAAACAAAATTATTTAGAAATATATTTTAAATGTAGATTTTTATATGCATCACAATAACGAAAAATCTGAATTAAATTGAAAGTCATCTGTTACAAATAGCCCTCGTTTTATTGAACTTATAACACACTGTATATTCATTAATTTGAAATGTTAAAAACTTACATAATATAAAATAGTTCTAGATACGATATTATTATAATAAATATAGTGTTTATTAATTTCAGAAATAATCATAAATGTGTTCGTGCTCTTTAACACGTGTTTTTTCACAAGGTCCAAAAATATTACTCAATATTTACAATACCATAGGACACACCTAAAAGTATAAAAGTGCAACAATTATAATTTTTTTTTTTCACTTTCAAGTGCTACATTAATCTTGATCGAAATTCAATGTGTGTAATTTTTTATATAATATATATAAATAATTATGTGTGATAATAACTTATAATCTTTTTTTATCTAATTTAAATTCCATAAAACGATCAGTATTATTTAATTGTTCATCGCAGCAGTAGTAGACCTTATCTTCTTCTCAATGGATGATCAATTCTAATTAAAAAAAATACTCATACTTCATGCGTCGTATCAGTCGTATGGTTTCCTATTTTTTAATATAAATGAGTCTTACTACTATTTTTCTCTTTAAATGTAATTATAAATGATTTCAAATTATTTTCAAACTACCATATTCAATAGTACAGAACTCATAAAACACATACACATATTATTAGTACGTATGAATTGTAAATATTTCCCTTATTTCGTTTTTATTATTGTTGATTAATAACTTTTTATGTTTGCATTTTGTTATCAAGTTATGACGTACCTGTTTTTGTTGTGGGCTCATAGAATATTTTATTTTAAAGCTATTCTCTATTAATCATTTTGATATTGGTGATTGGCCAGCGACAATCTATGCGTTAAACTCACCATTTTAAATTTGAAGTCTGTTATATTCACTACCAGATATACAAGTAAGAACTTTTGTTTATTTGTTAACTTTGAAAAATTAATTTTAACAGTTACATACTGCAAATAATATAAAATATTTACGTACATTTTTCATGTATAATATTGTATAAACATTGACGAAAAGTGTTTTTTAAATTAATATTTTCAATGAACACGGTGTTTGTATAATAGCCACTGTGGTTTGATCAATTTAATAAAATTAAAATTAAATTAATCAAAATTATTGATACAATTCTATATTTTATTTAAAGTTAAAATTGTTATTTTTAATAATAATTATTAATAAAAAGTACTAATTTATTTCAACAAAAATTACTATAAAATTATGAATTATAATATAGTTACAACATAATTTTAAAAATTTGTATATTTTCTAAAAAAATGCGCATTAAAAAATATGCGATTGAGAATTACTTTATCGTAGCTAAAATGTATCTGCTAATATTTTAGTATATGGTTATTATAATAATTATTTATTTATTTGATTATACCATTGTAATAATTTAAATTTAATCTGAATATAAATTATTTAGTTATAAGTTAATATTTACTTATATATTCATAAAATAATTATTGAAAACGATTGTAGTTTAGATAAAATACATAAGATATGTTAGCTACTTACACGCAGGGCTGGCCTTAGCTCTTTCAGCGCTCAGTGCAAAAATTATTTTGGCAACCCTCCACCTTAAACGACTTAAATAAATTACTTAAACAGACAGAATTTTAGGAACTGGAGGGACCTCATTATACATATTATAACCTAAGTTTCATTCATAATCAAAAAGGCTCAAAATAATTTTTCAAAGGTGCATATTTGTCACATATTTGTAAATCATTCAAAGAATAAACATAATAATACTTGTAATAATATAGTGGTATTTGAAACTGTAACTGTATCTACAAAACGCGACCAATCCTTCCATGTCGATAGAATAATAAATAATGGTAGTTATAATAATAATCAAAATTATATTGAATCACAACATAAATCTTTTTTTTCTACCTATAGTAGATAATTTGCGTTACCAACGATTGATCAAACTTAATTCTACATTTGATGCCTCTCATACGTCCTTCTGATTTTGGTGCCTTTTGCGTCACACGCATCGATCGTATATAAAGCCAGCCCTGATTACACCATATGAAAATATGATAAAGACGAATTCATATTTTCGATGGTTATGGTAAAACTATAAATATAAAAGCAATGTATAGTTTGAATAGGTATATAATATTTTTATTTTTTACTAATATAAATTTGTTTACCTGGATATACGTTTTAATACGGTTTAAACAATTTTAGTTTAATACATTTTGTAAGATAGAAATATACGATTGGGTCTTTTAGTATTCGAATATATTTTTAAAAATTTAATTATTTTAGATAACTATTAATTTTAATAGTTTGATTATTTTAATCTCTGAAACGTAATGATTAAAAAGAAAAAAATATTTCATTAACAAATTTAGAATCAAAGTGTTCAATAAATGAATAATTTATAAACATTTGAGAAATATTTTTCAAATTCCTACTACATTATTTTCGGTATTACACAACAACAATTTTTTTTTATGTAAAAATAAGAGTAAACTTAATATTTACTTAATTTAAAATAAAAATTATATTAATATTAAATTTGTGGAAACACAATAATTTCAAAATGAATTATTTACCAATGCTCTAAAACTATGAATTGCTCGTCGTTTTTTTGTAATAAAACAATTTCTGAATATGTTAAAAATATTTTTTCATTACAAATAAGTATTTATAGATTTTGTTTTAACAAATGTTTATATTTTATTATTAGAGGAGTAAAAAATTTTGGATTGATATAACTATTTGCTTTTCACCGATTAATAATATAGAACAATAATAGTGTACGTTTATCTTGGATAATAACTGTTTGAATAACAATGTTAGTTTAGAAGCGGAAAGAAGTATGACAAAAGTCTACACTTATAATATAATGAACAAGATAAATTTAAGGACAAAAGCTTATACGGTTGTTTTTACGATATTTGTGTTTATATTATACTGTTTAAAATCACTAAAACCAACTGCAAATGAATACGGTATGTTTTAAACTGCATTTTATTACAGTTATAATTTTATGTAAAATTATACATCAAATTATTTTCAGGCATTATACACGTCGGACGCGTCTTGCTATTGACTAATGATACAGCTAAAAAAATAGAATCTTCGTTGATTGAAAAAATTTTCATTTTTGAAGAACGAACTTCGACCATATTGTTTAGTTCTATTGTTGCTTTATATTTTTTTTTATTTTTGGGAGTTGTGTGCAATCGTTATTTGGTGCCATGCATACATATAATTTCTCACAGTAAGTAAATGTTGAAATTTAAATAAAATATTATTATAAATGATTCAGTGCTTGCAAACAATTAAACTCAAATCATTAAATATTTTTCCACACAATACATCACATATTAATGAAAATATATGTAGATTGTTTTTGTTGTTGAGTTATCATAATAAAAACCGAAAGCACTTTTTGTTAATAAATCAAACAGTACCTAAATATGGTCCATTGTTTATGGTTTATTGCAATGAAAATAATCTGGTATCAATGAATTTAGGACTTTGACTATCATAGATAAGTTACAAAGTAATCGCTCGTGAGAATGTCATATTGCATAATTTGTTAACAACACATTTTTAAAAGAGTATCTAAATTTTGTTGCTTATCTTTAATGTTAAATAAAATAATACAACTAATTAAATACACATAAACGAATACAAGTTATTTTTAATTTATGAAGTAATAATACTTTAAAAATATTTATTTGTTATTGTATTTATAGGTAATTAATGATTAACAATGATATTTAGATCTAAATATAAAATCACGTGTGTGTGTGTCTATAATATACATAAATGCACGATTATTACTATTATATATTCATTCATCAAAGGTACTAAAGTAATTAAAATATGTGCACACAAATCATATTATTGAAACGTAAAATGCATTGAAAGATGCACTTTAACATGTATTTTAATCTAATTAATATTATACTTAAAAAATATAGTTAAAACCCAATATAAAACGATTAATTAAATTAAAGGAAATTTAAATAAGAAAATATAATAATCATTTTTTTTTAATTTTAAATATTACTAAAACACAACATTAATTTCAACAATTATTAAGTACATCTTTATTTATAAATTATACATCTATATAAAAAAACAGCATCTACTTTCTCTGTAATTCTAAATAATAAACGAGCAAAAATCCAATTATAAAGGATCATATTATTAAATTGACTATGATAGGTGATGAATAAAATTCATAGATGTGTTAAAAAGTTGAAATTGTGTACATTAAAAATAATATTATTGATATTTGAGAAGTATAATAAAAAAGGATGTGTAATTATCAGTTGAATACTTAAGGTACCGTAACTGGTAGTTTATTCAGACATTTTATGTTTTAGAATAACATTTTGATGATATCTTGTCTTGCTATATATAAATTTTCATCACTGGCAAACAGGGTTAGATTTATTAGTTATTTTAATTAAGGTTTCAAATTTTCGTACCCTTAATTGGCTCAATGAAATTAGAGTTATGTATGGTTTGATTATAGATTAGATAAATTAATTTCCCTTCTAATTGTAAATTTGAACATGTTTTGATGCAAATAATGTTAAAAATACTATATCACTGATGTGCAAAGGACGTTACAGACGCAGACAAAAAGTCCATTAGTGCATGCACACCAGGCGACATAAAAATGTTTTGGTGAAATACTTCTCTGAATTTCAGATGAGTTACTATATTTATCACTATGAATAAAGTCATCACTGTCACAATCATCAGTTGTTACATACATTACTAAATATTAAGCTTCAAAAATGCAATGTCGTTGGTTAAATACTTATGCAATTAAATAAAATTAAAATACACTATTACAAGTTAGGTACAACTAACGTATCTGCTATAAAACAATAATTTCAAAATATCTGTTCTAAAATTAAAATCTCAAAGCCTATGAAATTTATTGCTCTAGGTATTCATCTCACACGCACTCATCCCTCTCAAATGTGCTATTGGTTTTAAATATAAATTAGTTTGACGAAATATAATTATAAATTAGAATAACCTCATCTTCATGGATAATAGATATTGATTCGTACAATGAATTGATAATTTTATTATTTTGAGCACCTTAAATAAGATAGAATGATAATTAATATAATAATATATTAATATTTCTGACCACTGTAACTGATGATTGTAGATGATTGTACCTTTATGATGTCAACAAAATAAAGTCAATGTGGACAATAGAGAAGAGAGTTGTAGTATATAACCTAAACCAATATAATGAAGTCAACAATTTAAATCGAAGGGTTTTAATTGGCTATTATTGTTACTCGAAGCTTTTAGCAAAATATAAATACATAAATCATGTTCTCAAAAACTTTCATTCTTTTACATTTTATAATATTAATAATAGAATAAGTATAATTTATTTACTTTTACCGTGATTTATTATGTAGGCGATTACTATTTTAAAATGAAATCTAAATATATTTTTATTAATAAACAATAACTGAATAATTAAAATATAAATATACAGAACTATAAAATAATAAAATATGTATATGTTTCTAAATTATATTTTCCTATATATATATATATATATATATATATATTATTTCATAGTAATATTTTGTTTTACTATTTTTGAATTTCTTTAATTAATTTTTAGTTTAATTTAAATTTTATTTGTAGAAAACCTAATGTATATTTATTGCGATTTTTTTGGAAATTATTTTTTAAGGAATGAAGTTAAGTCAAGATGTTGCGGGGGCGTCTGTAATGGCTGCAGCAGTTGCGTGTCCTGAGCTATTCGTCAATATACTCGCGACATTTTTCACAGAAGGTGATGTCGGAATAGGCACCGTAGTCGGTACTGGTTTATTTAATATACTATTAGTTCCTGGACTTTGTATAATAATGGCTAATCAAAAGGTAATTGTACTTTAAATTGTCTATGCAAAAGATGTATACATATTTTCGAAAATTATAAATTAAACATGTACAAGATAATAAATATTAGTGAATACTATGAAATTTCGATACAAAAATATTATGTTACATTGATACTATTTATGAAAATAAATCAACATATTGATGCCTATAAAAATGTTAGTAAAATGTATAATAATTATTTTTACAGACCATACACTTGGAAAGCTGGCCAATCACTCGAGATGTATTGATGTATCTTTTAACTATATCGTTACTGGTATGGTCATTGTCAGATAACAAAGTGTATGCATACGAATCGTTCGTATTAATCAGTGTTTATTTGTTATACCTATTGAGTAAGTAATTTATTGTTTTTGCTCTCATGGCTATCAATAATTTCCAAAAGTTCTCTCTTACAGCTCATATTTTGAAAAAATATTTAAATGTATTTCTTGCCAGGAGGATAATGTTTTAGAAGAACATATCGAAAGTGAGCCAATTCTTTCATTAAACGGTAAATGTCTATAATATCATAAAATATGTAAATAAATGTATTTTATTAAAATATAATTTGTTCTTATATTATCTTTAGGAATTTCAGAAAATGGTTTTCTTATTCACGAGCATATTGTATTGCCTAAATGGAAAGATAGAATTTGTGATAAGCTTTTAAGCTTAAAAGAAATAGTGGTGTGGCCTATCGTTTTAGTCCTGAAAGTAACTGTTCCGAGTAGCAATAGTTCAGATAGACTATTTTGGGTGCCCATCACCATGTTCATGTGCGTATTTTGGATTGGATGTGGATCATATATTATCGTAGAATTAATTACAATTATAGGTAAGTGGTTCAAAGAAAAGAAAGTCATTAAAATATATAATAGCGTTATTAAAATACTATATTATAATAATTATTATTATTTTTTGAAACACACCTATACTACTGATCTTAAAACACGAACAAAGTATATTCATTTACTAAATCTAAATATTATTTTCTGTTTAATTTTTAGGTAACGAATTTTTAATTCCTGATTCAGTCATGGGTCTCACATTATTAGCGATCGGCATGAGTGTACCGGAAATGGTTTCTAGTATAGCAGTCGCGAGACAAGGTTTGAAGAAAACATAAATTTGAAATGTTTTAAATAACATTAAAATAATGTGCTGTTTTATTTTCCAGGACAAGGCACAATGGCCTTATGTACTGCGTTTAGTTCATCAACATTTGATGTTTTAATTTGTTTGGGCGTTCCGTGGTTCATCAAAGCTATGTGGTTCTATAAAGCCAACTCTAGTGCGTCAATAGATGTTCATTCGAGAAGTCTTGACGACAGTGCGATAGCTGTTATGATCAGTACAATCGGTTTCATGTTATTAATGTGTGCCAAAAAATTTGTGTTGACCAAAAGAGTATGTACAACATTTATTATTACTGCGTGATGTTAATTATTATATATGGTTTTAATTAATTTCACCTTTTGATTGTTTTGCAGTTAGGAGGGTTTCTCGTTAGCATATGGTTATTAATTTGTTCAGCCATGGTTTACAATGAGTATGCAACAAAATGAGAACAATTCCTGTAGCTTAATTGCACAATTATTTTGCGTGATTTGATGGACGATGACGCGTAAATGGCTTGTGCTGTCGCCAAGACAAGTCGTGGATTATTGATAAAGGTTTTGAAAAATCAGTATCTTTAGATTATTTTAAAGGAGGATAAACCTATGAATAATAATGTAAATATACTAGGGAAAAAATCTAAAATAATTAAAATATATTTAGTGAAATCAAGTACATTATTATAGTAGTTATTCGTGCCAAGAAATATCTGTGAAGTAAACGAACGTATAACGTTATGTTAGAACAGTTAAATAATTATTGAAGGAAATATAGAAAAATGAATGTACACGTGCAAATAGTATTCATCAGAGTGTTGATGCTAAGAATCAAATAAACTTTGGGTTTTTGACGTATTCAGTATATGCGTGTATAATAATTTCCTAGAAAATTGTTTTGTTATTTTATTCGAATATAATAGTCACATGATTTACAAGTAGTTGGTTAAAAATTGAAGGTTAGGCTAACCTTTTTTCAACAAGCATTGAATGATATAGTTATATTTTTTTTTCATTATATTTTCAATTTTGATTTAAATGTAATATCCATAGGTAATTAATTATTTTTATGTAATTGATAATACATATTATATCAATAATTAATCTTCAATTTAATATCAACCACCTTTGAATTGTAACTCTAATGGATAGAAAATAATAAATGCGTTCTAATTTTGGTCGTTCCAACTGTGATTTTAAAATTTAATAATTGGTTATAATCTTGTGGAATAATTTGTTAAGAATAATAAATAATTACCTTAATTTGTATAACCTTTATTTGAAGTTTTTAGTTCTAAGTTTTTAATTTAATTAATTGTATAATTTTTTTATTAAGATTTTACTTACAATTTAATTTTAAAATCATGCTTATGTGATATATAAACAACTTTTTTACTATCTAACTAATAAAAAATTCAAATTATGTATTAATTTAAGTAATTGTTAATCATACTTATATTATAATTCTAACTGTATAATGCTACTTTGATTTTGATTATTTTAACCGTTGATTATTATGAAATTGTTATATGTTTTAATAAGCGATTCCGTTTGAGTATTCGTCGTTCTTAAGAATTTTATAGTTCACACTAATTTTTTGGCCATAAACAATGTTTAAATTTTAAATGTTTAGCAATGATGTTTTTTTTTTCATTTTAGAGATGTTATTATATACTTTTCAAAACCTTTGACTAACAGTCTGCTTGAAACTTGATATTATTATTATTCAGTATTTAGATACACTGTTAAATTTTGTATTTAATATATTTTGTTGTTTTTTTTTATATAAAACTGAGATTTTGTGAGGGCTTAATTTGTACTATAAATTGTTAATTTATGAAACGTTATATTTGTTATGAAAAAATTAGTGCAAGTTATTAAAATATATCATTGTTCAAAAATATAACGTTATATAATTTCAATAGTATTTTATACAACAAAAATGTTCTATTTAAAAAAATAAAATAAAAACTATAATAGAAACATGAATACTAACTTAACTTTTAATTTATGAAGTTTTATAGAAATATTTTACATTTCAGGAATCGTCAAATAATAATTTAATAATAATTTATAATAATAATAATAATAATCATTAATAAATGATACATTGTACATTAGTAGAAGCTAATTTGTTTAGATCATTTAATGGTTGAAAAAATTGCCCATTGGGAAATTAAAATGATTATAATTCCTATAAAATAGAGACAAATGATTTTTTACTAATTTTTATACTATTCATACATTATTTACAAATTAATACATTTCTACCATAACCTATTCTTAATCAGGCACTATTTTTGATTACGGAAATTATAAGTACTAATTTTATGTACCTAAAAAAAAAAAAAAAAAAAACAATATTTTAACTAATAAAATTAAACCTATTTATTAATTGTTTAATTGCAGCAAATTTAACAATTATATAGAATAAATATATACAGTTCTTATCACATATATAATAACAAAAGAAGTTTTAAATATGAAGGAAAATAAAAACCTTAAAATTATTATTTTTTTAGTAAGGGGTGCACGATTTTACTAATAAAACTCAACTTTTAAAACGGAATACCTACCCTAGCCTACCCTATAACTTATTTTACTACGATTATATTAAACAATTTTACTTATATTTTAATTGTAATTATTATCACAGAGATTTATATTTTCTACCATTTGTATACTCTTTCTTCCGTTACCTAATAATAAAAATAATTTATCGATAAAATATAACAGTACAGCAACTAAATTATCTTTAACTATAACTATGACAACCAAAGACAGTTCTATACTGTTGCAAAATATAACATTCCTCATTGACTATTCTAAGATATCTTCTTGAGTTAACTTTTATGATCGAATTTTAAGTGTTAATACCTTTACTATTGATAATGAAATTGAAGAAGATCACGGAATTATTGAGAGAAAGTGTGTTGAAGATGTATCGTTCAAAACAGGGCTTGAACCCAAAATGATAATTTTTGGTTACAGCTTTGATTTTGATTTCTGGTTTTTGATATCTGTTTCTATTCAAGTCTTAAATATCAGTTTGCAAATTTTCTGTCTTCAATTTCGGTTACATATAACGGTTTACACTTTTTTCAGTTTCTATTTGAATTTTAAATACTAATTTCAACTTTGTTCAATTTCAATTTCGATTTTAAAAATCAATATTTACTTTTACATACAAGTATATTTATATCCAATGCAACGGTCATTACATGCATATAAAAAAAGAAAAAAAATTACGCTGATCCGACAGTGTTTATTATGTTAAACAACAACTTTTCTAAAAAAAACCGAGTAAAATGGACGGCTTTTATTCTTTTAACATGCATAAATATAAATCTATTTGATAAATTGACCTCTAGTATGCCAAAATATTACAAATTTCACTGATAATATTTTTAGTTTAACGTAAAAGGTAAAATTATTCAATTATTTTTTTATGCATTGAATACGTTTTTAAATACTTATATTTTAGAATTAATTGAACAGTATTTAAATATTTTGTTTTAATTGAATACTATATATATTTATGGAATACTTTTTTCTTTGATTCATTAGATTTTAAATTTGTTTCTATTTGTAATTTTTGGTGATGGTAAATGGAACGTCGGTTCCCGTCTAATTATAGCTACATTTTTTCTCTTTTTTTCACTGTAATATGTAAATTATATACTTTTTTTCATCCAGATAATGGATTATCAATATACGAAGATTGAAATATGGCACCAATATATAATACAATATAAACTATACATATTATCAAATATATTTTATTTTCGTAATTTTATTATACGAAAATTATAAGTACTATTTATTAAAAAACTGACTATGAAAATCGTTTATCGTCGATGACGACTTATGGTAGTAGGAAGTATGGCTGTAATACATACCATAACATTACACCGATTCTCACTTTTTATTTATATAGGCTTACAATTTTAGATTTTTGCTCCCGATTTCGGTTTTGAAAATAATTTATAATTTTTTTAATTTTCATAATGGTTTCAAATACCGATTTTAATATATTTTGATTGCGTTTTGATTTAAAAAATCAGTTACATATTTTTTTGATTTTCAATGAGGTTTCAAATCCCGATTTCCATATTTTTCGGTTTCGATATTTATTTTGATTTTGATATCGGTTTTTTTCGGTAGTTACCGAAATTTAATACCGGTTTCAAACCTTGGTTTAGAATGAAAATTACCTATGAATAAAAAAACATGGACGGCCAATATCTGTTCGGATAGGAAAAAACGAAGAAAGCAGATTAAAAATGTATTATGCGTAATACACCGACAAATATTCATTTAAAAGAAAATGTATGGGAGGTTATATTATTATTGCAATATCAGCAATTACCACATTGATGAGACATATATCTATATTAAAACTTTTTAAACTATAATTTATTACTATTTCTTGGTTTTAATAATTATGTTTTATTGCCCTGCTTTATTAACCGAATGATTGTATAATAATAATCGTTGAGACAGAAAAAATTTAGTAACTTAAATCTCTTAAATAAAAATAAATAGAAAATGATGTTATATTGTAAAGAGTATACATGCATACATTCTGTGTGGCATGTGTGTCACGTGGAGAAAAAGGTTGCTTAATTAAAATATAATATGATATAAAAAACAGATAGTTACATCATTATATGCATATCAACTGTTAGTAACTCGGTAATATAAGTATTTCATTGTTTATGATTCTAATTAATATTTACGAATTTTAGTTGATTTTTAATTTGTGTGCAATATACTGTACCATTGATTATAGTAAAAATATAGTTTTAAGTATAAATTTATAATTCTAAACATACATTTATAAATAATAAATAAATAAATTAACGAATAGTTTATATTTAGAAATAAATAATTTAATTAATTAATTAATAAATAAATGCTTACTCTTGAGTATTATTATATTTGTAAAATACGACCGGTTACGTTCAAATAAAGTCGTGATTATTAACTACTTATAACTAATATTTATATACTTATTGAAGTTATACAGGTTTAGTGTTAAAAAAAATACACATTATCAATATTATAGTTTAAATAAAGGTAAGATTAAATTCAGCACTTGATAATGCAATTTATAGTATCAATTTAATATCTGTTTTTTTTTCTTTATAAGAATCGTGTATATTTTACTATCAAAAATTAGTATAAAGAGAATATTTTAAATATTTTTATTTTAAGATTAAATATAGTATACACATAAGTAGTTGATTAATAAACCAGTTACATGTAATAAACGAATAATTTGAATATATTATTAAATTTGTCATTTAATAGCTTTCATAGTTTATAGCGGATTCGACTCCAATCAAATTCATTATAACTTCATATCAATAATAAAATATATGTAAATAACTTGTTTAATTTAACTATATATACGGATTTATTAATTAAAAGTGTATTATATATATTTCACAGAGAGTTATTATTAATGATAAAGAGTCGGAATATAAAATATGTTTATTAAATTCAGTTTTAAGGTGAACAATTTTTAATCAAAAAACTACCATTTAATTTTGTTTTATAATGCTATTTTTTTTTCAGTTTTCGCTAATTCTTTATAGTACCTCATAATATAATTATATTAAATATAATTCATATAAAAAGAAAATAATATTTACAGCCTTTAAAATCTCAAATATAGTTGATCGCTTTTAATTGTACTAAAACGAATTGCATTAATTTTATGTAGAACATGAGTAAAAAAAGTCTACAACTATGGGAAAAAGTATTATTGATTAATTACGGATACAGGATAAAGTAAAAAGTGATTTCTATCACTAATAGTATAAACACGATATAAACTCTGGTTTTATAGAAGCATTTTGATTTAAGATTTAATAAAATATTTTATTAATTTACAACCGTTACAGAGTAGTCGTAAACAAAGGTGATTAAGAGTTAAAGAATATACAATTTTCAGAATATCTTATAAAAGTCCTATTCAATATTTAATTATGATTGGTGATGTAAAGGTATAAAGCATGCAACGAAGGCAAATATAATCCGTTAGTAC